TTGTCCTTAACTGAAGAGTTCTTAACTTCTCTGAGGCTAACAATACTGACTGGCTCCATTCCCTTAGTGAAAAATATAATACTTAAAGGGGAAGCCTGTGGTCTATAGCAGCTGTTCTCTGGGACCCTTTCAGGGGGTCCACAAAATCAAATAAATATTTTATTTTAGTTTTTAGTTTTAATTTCTAACACGGTAAATATCATAGATATAACCCACATAAACCAAAGCTGTTTGGGGTCCTCAATCATTTTTAAGAATGTAAACAGGTTTGCGAACCACTGGTCTATAGTTTAATACCCACCCCTCCATGAACCTTGTCTACAGTGATGCATTAGCTCTGCCAAATTGGAATCTCTGAGCTAGACTGGACGTCAGCTCGTGGGCTGCAGTCAGGGGTTTACTCTCTTGGACTCAGGGACCTCAGGCATCTCAAACTGTATTGCTGAGACTAAGTCCCTCATCCCTAAGCCCCACTGATGCATTGGAAAACTAGGGTTGCAACTACCTTTAGTGTTAATAGCAAGTCTTCTTTAAACTTTTTTGGTGACATATATAGAAGCTTAGAGAGCCAGTGTGGTATAGCGGTTAAGGTTATGGATGAGGAGTGGGGAAACCCAGGTTCTAGTCCTCTTTTAGGCACCAAAGTCAGCTGGGTGACTTTGGCCAGTCATTCTCTCTCAGCCCTAGACTGGAAAGTCAAAAAACATCTATCTACCAACCCACACTGGACCAGCATAGTAAGTTAGTCCTTAACTTTCAGTGAAGAGGCTTTCATCCTGCAGTGGATTGATTCAGGTAGAATAGTAGTAGTAGTATTAATACTGGTACTGTTAGTATTATCAAATCTTAAGATTTGTAGATTTGTTATCTTTTGTCAAGAACTGCATAAATAAAACAGATTTTTTTCTGATTAGTATTTGGGTGGAAGACTGTAAGCTAGAGTGGGAGGTCAAAAAATATATCTCTCAGGAGAAGGCAATGGAAAATCATGTTGGTATTGTTGCCAAGAAAGCCACATGGATGTGTCCATGAAGTCATTAAGAGTTGAGCTTGTCTTGAAGGAGACCTTACTTTTACTCCTTTTACTTTACTATGTCATATAATCTGTCTCTGGTTTACTAATTCATAGTTCTGACCTACAAACAGAGCAGAAGCAGAGAAGCTTGAAATACGTTAGAAGGACACAATATATTTAGTGGTAAGCAGAAGTAGCTGAAAATCGCAGCGAAGAGAATCAGGATAATATACAGGTTTCTGAGTATGGAAAGCAGTGCACTGAGACTGAATATTCTACCCACACATTTAATTGTTTTTCTACATTTGTAAAGATTAAAGACATTCTATTAATTTGTAACTTTTAAAAATATGAATGAATGGTATTTCAAAGAGTTTTTTTAGATACAGTGCTTCTGGCTGCTAGTTTCCAGAGAATAAAATCATCTCTTTTTTCCCCAAGATAGACATTTCTCAGCACATATATGTTTTATCTCTCTGCAGAGAATGATGAGGTCCTCAGTTTTCCATATGTTTATCCTGAGCATGGTGGCAGTGGATGTCATTGTTGCTGCTAGCAATTATTATAAGGGAGAAACTTTCAAGAGCCAATATGATGAATTCTACCTTGCAGAGGTGAGTCTCCCATTCATTACTGATTTCTTCATATTTCCTGTCAAAAGCTGATATCACCATCATCCTTTATCATCCTTTATTAGTCAATGACCAGTCCATTAAATCACCTTGTAGGCATAAGACTAATATTAGTTGTAAAATTAATTAGGTAAACATGTCAGTCAAGAAATAAACTTAACTGATCAGAGTGACTGAGGAATTTGATTAAGTGTGTGGTTATCATCTTCGGTGTCAACATAAAGCGAACAGTATCATAAGCCTTACTATCTTTCATGACTACTGAGAAGTAGCAAAAAGCTCTTGTGTTGCATTCAGTTTTCTGTCTGTCTGTCTGTCTGTCTGTCTGTCTGTCTGTCTGTCTGTCTATCTATCTATCTAT